TTCCTTTGTATGTGCCTTATGACAGCACGCACACATAAGAAAAAGATGGTGTGTAAAAACAATAGGCTTTAGTTATTTTAATGAAATTTCATCATTTTCATCTCTATATTTACAAGACAGAAGATTCTATGCACGTCTATGTGTTTATTAATTCCTGACAGAACATTAAATCTTAAGAAAACATATATTTATTATTTTTGTTACAAGATGTATAGCTTTTTATATTAAAAAAAACATATCACTAATATTTATAACAGAATGTCCTTAAACTGAAAAAAAATCATGAAATGGAATAAGTCATAAGGAATAAGTGTTAGCTTTATTTATGTATTTTGACCCCTGTTTTATTGTTAGTATTTCCTGATAAATTGCAAACAATGTTAGTACCATTCATAAAAATCTGGGAAACAGCTGGAAAAGATTCAGGTAGACATTAACTTTCCAATGTATCAGTCTTCTTGATTGGGCTATAAAGCCATTTGCACTGAATTCTTTTATCAAAGTTATCAAATCAAGATCTTTAGTTCATAAATTATACACAAACCTTCTTTATAGAAACCTGTTTTTCTTTTATTGTTTTTTGAAGGTTAATGAAAGCCTACCGTGTTTTCCCGAAAATAAGACAGGGTATTATTTTCTTTTGACCCCTGAAATAAGCACTTGGTCTTATTTTCGGGAAGGTCTTATTATTTTTGAGGTGCAGGAGGTGGTGAGCGTGGTCACCTCATGGCTGCTGCTGTGTTGCAACATTTTCAGGGAGGGCTTATTTTCAGGGGAAGGCTTATTTTAGCCCATGCACTCAAAAGCCCGATTGGGCTTATTATCCAGGGAGGTTTATTTTTGGGGAAACAGGGTAGTGGGTGCCTGGATTTGCTATTCAGATAGCAGTTTTTTGATACATACATTGTTCAATATGTTGCACAGAAATAGTTATGTACACATGTCAGTATAGTATCAAGAGTTTCTAGTTTTTATATACATGGTCAATAAAGAAAAGCTCTTGGTCAACATCTGGAGCATTTTAAACCAAGATAAAATGAGGTGAAATTTGATTACTTGAAAAGTATTGCTATATGAAAGGAAAGAGTTGCCATCAAGATTACTACCAAATATTAGAATAAAGGACAATGAAGATGGTCATATGTAATAAAGGAGTAGATACAAGAGAAAGCTGTTATGAAAAAAAAATCCAAAATAGCTATACAGCACCATTTCAGCACAAAACTTTAATTTTAGTTATAATTTTCTAAGCATCACATTTGGACACAAATTTCTTACAAATCAAAGACTGAGATTCTATTCAAAGCAGCTTATAGTCAATGGTCATTTTTATGAGAATTACTTAAATCTTTTTCAATTTACCCCGAAGACTTAATACAATACTAATCACTTCATTAATGTTAGAAAACTGCCAGTCATACAAGGAGAGCTCAAGTGGGAATTAGCCTTGAGTCTAAGAGACCTAGCGTTAATCTCCTCCCCTATAACTTTCATGGGTCCTTATCTATTTGTTTCCAAGAAAAGGCAGGTAGTCTGGGGTCATTCCTGTATTATATGCAGGATATAATAAAGTAATCCATTTGAACTCTACATGTGTGAACTTAATTGATTGTGCCTGATCATTAACTTACACTACACATATTCACATGAAGCTGGCAAATCTTAGTTTTTCAAGCACAATCTACACAAAAAAGAGCCGAGGTGGCGAAGTGGTTAGAGTGCAGCACTGCAGGCTACTTAACTCAGCCTTCCATCCTTCCGAGGTGGGTAAAATGAGGACCCAGATTGTTGGGGGCAATATGCTGACTCTGTAAACCACTTAGAGAGGACTGAAAGCCCTATTAAGCGGTATTTAAGTCTAACTGCTATTGCTATTGCTAAAATATAAGCAGACTGTCACTGACAGTGTTCAACCTTGGCCTGAAGGCAAATGATTGAATTTAAAAAAAGAAAGTTAGAACAACTGTTAGAACAGACTTCCTAAAGAAAAAAGGATATCTGAAAAATAAAGCAGTTGCCCCTGTCACCATTAACATTAAGAATACCAAGACATCTCTGCTTATCAACTAGAATTAAGTGAAATAGTTTTCACCTGAAAACAGTATTTACAAACTTGTCATCTTTTGTGCTTTCTTATCAATGCTAGCCTCAAATCTTCAAAAACCCTGGACAAGGACCATTTATTTATTTATTTAATACATCAACTTATACAGACACCCATATCACCACTGTACTTCTACTATTCATATGTTAAGTAGAAACTAAAGCTTTTCCAACTCATAATTAAAGCAACTTGAGAATTGATAAGTGCTGATGAAGGATGCAGAGACAATAGAAATAGCCTTGATAGCTTGGTGCCTATGTTATTTAAATAAATAATAATTTTAACACTGTCGGTCTATTCATTAGGTAATAGTATCCACATTACTTTTACAAATGGTACATAAATCATTGTTATATTTCTTGTGCCAATTCTTTTAATATGACATCTGTGCTGGCTAAAACATTTCTTCTAGTGAAAATTGTTCTATATGTTTATACAAAAAAGAATTTTAATATGTTTAATGCAAAAAAGAACACTTTCTGAACTAAACAGACTTTATCAAAACTCAGGAACTTTATCAGAAAACAACATTACTGCTAGATGCATTGTTTTTCTTATTTTTTTGAACAATTATGAGTATAAATCACAACTAATCTTCGACGTGAACAATGAACTTAGATTTTTTTGTAAAAAAAAACCCACAGTAATGTACATTTTATCTACTTATATAACCATAAATACTCCCTAGATTTATTGTGGCATAATCCAATCTCTGTCCCTCAAAGGTCTTGAGCAAAACAAGTATATTTCATGTGTCTTAAAATTTATGATTCCTAGAAAAAGAATCTACATTTACTATCAATATTTTTTGCCAAAATAAAAATGTGAGAGACTAGATTCAAACATGAGCTGTTTAAATCAGTGTTTTTCAACCTTTTTTGTGCAAAGGCACACTTTTTTTCATGAAAAAAATCACGAGGCACACCACCATTAGAAAATGTTAAAATTTTTTAACTCTGTGCCTATATT